AATAAAATGAAAAATTAAGTTAATAAATTTTTTTTGTTATAAACAAACTGTATTTTGTTAAATTTTTTTAACACCATGTTATTGTACATCAGAAACCATTAACCTCGCCCATTAACAATTTTTTCGTATGTCTTTCCGTTTTCGAGATAGCCGTTTCGAGCCAAAACTTCAAGGGGTGGTTTCACCCCTTAAACTCGAGTTACCGCAGCTAAAAAAAAAATACGTGTCGATTATTTTTGGCTGCTTTATAAGTGTACAAAGTTTCATCAAAATCGAAGCCGGACCGTTCGCGAACATTCCTTGTCAGTTTGCCTATGGAGTACGAAAAATAGTTATCGCGATGATTTCCACTTTGCAATATTACGAGTAACATTTAGAATTTACCAGTGCACGTTACACGCCGGAGAACTGTACAGAAACGAACTGGAGGAAGGAAATGGAAAGGTAAAATTGCGATGCAATTTGAAAAAAAATTTAAAAGATTCGATAAAAATCAACAAGCATCGGTAACAGAAAGAGAAAAATTGATTAATTCAGGGAGAGTCGGTAACAAGAACGGAAAGCAACGGTACACGTAAATTACAAACAAAACAAAAAAAAAAAAGAAGAACAAAAGCAAATAGAACGGCATAGGTCAAATGGACTGCTGAAAATCCGACATAGAAAAATAAAGTCGAAAAGGAATACAGGATATAGAACAAAAGCACAACAATACCCGAGAAAAGAATGACACAGAAGAAAGAAGAAAAAGGGAGGGCAAAAAACATGCATCGATCTTTTCCTCTAAAACATAAAGCCCATAATCCTTCCACTTTTTGCTCATAACTCTTTTACTTCACATGAACCACGCTTTTGGTTACGCTGTTCCGTGCTCCTCTCCATATACATACACATGTACGAGAAACAACACAACATTCGCAGCTTTTCAAACAGGTACAAGCAATATTCAAATATTTCACTGTCAGAAACGCGGAAAGGGAATATCACGGGAGCATCGCCTTACGGGAACTACGAAAATTAAGGGAAGGGAAAGCTTGAAGGTAAATAACGGGTGTTGAAGGGTTTCGATGAAGGGAGAGATAGATGGACATCGTCACCCGCCTGCAGAATGCGAAATACATCGCGCGTATACGAGAACGTATAGTCTGTGGAAGAAATATAGCGAAGTGGTAAGATCGATCAGGTGTTAAAAAGTTTACATCTTTGTTATGAAAATTAACGGAAAGGAAACAAAGAATTTGAAGACAAATAACTGGTGTTGAAGTGTACAGGAACCATTCTGCTCTTTGTTCAAAATTAGAATAACCTCGTTTCGCGCATGGGACGTGCCTAGGGCAGGGCTAGAACGTCCAAACCCCCACTTAACCGCCTACGTTTTTCTCCGTCTTACGCCTTGCGCGGGAACTGCGCAGAACGGACGAAAATCGGTCCGCGAGCGAGGTTATTCTTATTTTGAACGAAGTGTACGTCAGATTTTTTTCAAATTTGCAGGATTTCTGGATAGCCCTATGAAACGAAACTGTGTAAAATTTTAGCTTTCTATCTCGAACGGTTTTTGAACTATTTAACGTTGAATAACTAATCGCAACTCCGTGCGATTTCACACGGAATGGCTCACACGGGAACGTATAGTCGGTGGAAGAAATACAGCGAGGTGGTAAAATCGGTCAGGCGTCAAAGTTTACATCTTGGAGCACACCGACAAGCGAATCAAGAGAAGCCTGATTCACTCGTCGAATATAGGAAGTCTAAAACAGTGTTTCCCAACGTGGGGCGCAATTTGAATAGTTTTACATATCAATAATCACAATTAGAATTTATTTCATCGTTACAATTGAATTTTGCGTACGTATGATAATTAGACGCAAGAATAATATACACTTTGAATGAGATAAAACAAAACGAAAAACAAAATATGGGACAAAATGTGAAGCATAAAAAAATGTAAAAAATAAAAAAAATGGAAATAAAATGGAAATAGCTGGAAGAAATGATTAGCAGGGAAAAAGAAGAAAATGTCACACGAAGGAAAAAAGTGGCAGAAGAGATAGGTACCGTTGCACTTGGCAGTTACAATCACATTATATCGATGCGACCGCGATGCATACATACAAAGTAATCTTATCGTGGCGGCCCCAGACAACCTGTCGCCACCTCCAACTCTCGTGGAAAGCAACGAAGGCTCAAGAGGAAGCCGGTAGGGAAGAGACCAGAAAGAGAAAACTTTGAGGAAAAAAGGTGGACAGACGAGGAAGGGAGCTGCTTTACATCCATTACACGATTCGATATTCCAAGGCAACTTTCCTGACGAAGTGAAACTATTAAAAAATTATATTTTATGGTGAATTCAATTTTTCTCTTACCATCCATATAAAATAAATCGCATACATAAAGATGTATGTATATTAAGAATTTTCTTCGTCAACAAGATTGAAATTTGTTATGTATTAGAATCTTGCATTTCACAGTGTCACATAAATTACTGTAGAATGTATACTTTAAAAGTGTATCA